CAAAGCTATGTCTGTGTAGTCAAGCAATCGTGAACCAAAGAGTGAACCAAATCTCAGATGACACAATTATAGAGTCCAAATATGCAATACTTCTTAGCTGCAGCAGGGTAAGATCCCCATAATGGATCAAGGGGAAAGGGGGCAGAATTTCAGAAATTAACACGAAGGGAAACCACATGGGCCTTGCTCCCTAGCAAAGCTTTTTTTGTCGGACTTTCTTTTGTGGGGTCACCAGCCAGCCCCAAGTAATGACACAGAGACTTATTAGTAATTATGAAAGCTTTGCCTTTAGATTAGGCTTGTTCTGAACTTATAACTTAAATTAATGTGCTTTTATTAATATATGTTTTGTCACGTGGGTGGCTTTTACCTCTCTCCCATTCTGTATGTCTGATGTCTGTTGTACACCTCTGATTCTTACCCTCTGAGTTCTCTCTGCTCAGAAGTTCCACCTAACTTCTCCTACCTAGCCATTCAGCTTTTTATTACACCAGTCACAGTGACACATCTTCACACAGTGTAAACAAAGATCCACAATACCCCATGACTTTGCCTTCTCTCCATCTTCATCCCATCATATTTCTGTTCCTTTTCATTGCTCCTTGACATTGTTTGTAGACTAGGGAACATCATAAAATCAGGATTTTAGCTGCAGGTTCACCACCTGAAACATTGAAAATATAATTGTGAAGAGTGAGGAGATATACTCTATTAGATATTAAGACAGACATTAGTCCCTGCTTCTGTCCTCAGGGGATGTATTTCAGATGCTTGAAACCTAAGCTAAGAATGCAACTTTGTATATTCTGTTTTTTTCCCCCTATAAAACTACAAACCCATGGCAGTTTAATTTATAAATTAGACACTGTAAGAGAGCCACAATAGGAACTAACAATAAAATGGAACTATATTACAAAAAATAAATGTAATATAAACACAAGTACTGTGACACCATGATAACAAAGATGGCTGCCAAGTGACTAATGGGTGAGTGGTATATAACAGATGGATACTCTGATCATGGGTGATTCACATTCTGCCTCCATTAGGATGGAACAGAATGAGATAATCTCTGCTCCAAGTGGAGCATGATTTAAAGTTTTAAAATGGTTTATTGGTGGGTTCCAGACCACAGATGATAGGCCGTAAATGAAACCATAAAAAATGACATTGTAGCTTGGGAGACTACTATGTAACTAAGGCATAGGAATACAATCAGAACCTGGGAAAGTAGCTCAGTTTGGTAAAGTATTACCTTATTCATGAAGCCCTGAGTTTAATCCCCAGCATCACATCACACCAGGAATGGTAGTACACATGTGTGATCCAGAACTCGAGATGTGGAGGCAGGAGGATCAGAAGTTCAACGTCATTTTTGGCTACTTAGTGAGTTCTAAGCAAACGTTGGCTACATGAGACCCTATCTTAAAAAGAAAAGGAAAGAAAAAGAGGCAGGTGGTGGCACACACCTTTAATCCCAGAGGCAGGTGGATCTCTGTGAGTTCAAGGCCAACCTGGTTGGTCTACAGAGGGAGTTCCAGGGCAGACTCCAAAGCTACAGAGAAACTCTGTCAAAAAAGAAGGAGGAGGAGAAGGAAAAGAAAAGAAAAAGTAATTCAATAACATAACACTGGTCTAAGAACATCTGGATCACCAGAGCAAGGAGAGCTAGGAACAGATGTGTGTGTATGTGTACTTGTCATAGTGTCATAGCACAGAGATGCACAAACACATTGATAGGGGATGAGTGAAATGTTGGGTGGTGCTGCTGAAAAACTGACTCACTAAGAAGAGAAAACACCACATTTCCATTAATACTATACATAATTAATTCCTATTGATACTATCTTAGTGACCCCCTGATGGGGTGTGGTCTAATTGTGGTAGGTGGAGATGTGAAGCCAGATACAGCAACAGGTAGCTGAGTATGTTGGATCTTGGGTGAGAAATGATTCTTTTGTTGAGACAGAGTCTCACTATGTAGCCCTATTCTAACTCTGGCTGCCCTGGAACTGGCTACAGAGCTCAGGCTTGTCTCAAACTCACAACAATCTGCCTCATGAATGCTGGGATCAAAGGCATGTACCATCACACCTAGGTACAATTCTTAAATTGATTTCCCCCAAATATACTTCCTGTATGAGTTAGGGCTCCCTAGGGTAACAGGATTTATAGAATGAAGCTCTCTTTATTTATGGAAAGGGGATTTATTAGGCTGTAGTCCAGCTAATCTAAATCTCTGTCTATGACTGGAAGGTCCAAGAATCAGGAGTTGTTCAGTCCAAGAGGCTGGATGTCTCAGTTGATCTTCAGTACATGCAGGAATCCCAAAGTAGGAGGCTCTAGTGCCTGTGATGGAATGAATTTGCAAGTGAGATGAGAGCAAGCAGGCAAAGAACAAAGAGCTTCCATCTTCCATGTCCTTATACAGGATTCCAGCAGAAGGCATGGTTCAGGTTAGAGGTGCGTTATCCCGGTTCAATCAAAAGGTCTGGATTAAAGGTTTCCTAGCCCAAAGATTTGGATTGGAAATGGATCTTCCCACTTCAAATTAAGCAAAAACAGAACAACAACAACTAAACCCCTCCAAAAAACCCTCACAGATGTGCCCCTCCAGTTTTTTGGGCTTTAGTTAATTCCAGACATAGTCAGGTTGATAATCAAGGATAGCTACCACACTCCCCATGTCTAAAATGTATTTGCTGTTTCAAAATGAAATATTTTTCATCCACTGTAGGATAGCAAAGACCAAATGAATAGGACACTAAAGAGAGAGCTATCTGCGTTGCTCAACCATTTCTCCTAAGATGTTCAATTATTTATTGAGAATAATTATTTAGAATATATAAGAAGTTCCTCCAATTTACTTAGAGAGATAATAGGAAAGCAGAAAAACAAGCAAAGGATGTAAGTAGGCATATCACAGGAGGGGGAAAATGTGGGGTGCTTAAATATGTGGAAAATGGTGAACATATCAAATCATAAAAAACCACAAAGATGATTACAGTGACACTATTATCATTAACATGAAATGTACCGCAGGTAATAGCATGTGTCAGGATGTGGCATGTTGAAACAGGAACTCTCCCCTCATTTATTCGCTAACGATTGGATAAAGCCACCCTAAAGGGCTGCATGGCAGTGAAGCCAAGGCCTGAAGACTGCAGGACCCAGCAATTTCATTTCTCTCAAAGCCTACACGGGGCAGGTCTAATGTCCACCTTATTGCTGTCTGTGCTAATTTTTGAGTCCTTGATGGTAGTATTGGACATGCAAGTAGAGTGTGTCAGTGGCAGGATTAACCCTCTTCCCCCAGCATACAGAGCCACACAGCTAACTAGAGCCCTTTTATGGGTCATATCTTACATTTCCCAAAAGGCCATATCTTAAAGTCGTAGTTATCAATCACAGTGCTATCTGGAGATGTCAGAAACAGGTTACTGAGAGCATGCCCTTAGGTCCTCCAGCAACCTTTCTGTGGTCACAAGGTTTATTTTTGTAAACCTGCCACCTCAGGTTCCTGCCATGAGGCCCAGCTGCAGCTTCAGGCTCACAGCAATTGGATCAAACGACTACGGACATAAATCTTAGGAATCATATGCCAAATGAATGTTTCTTCCTTTACGTTTATTCTGTTAAGTATTTAGGCACCGTGATGAGAAACTAATATACCTCTGAGATGTTAAACTGAGGAAAAATTAAGCAACAGAATGAGTTCTTACCTCAGACAAACCAAAAGCATTAATTTATTTTGTGATATGTACATATAATGTGGCACATTTTAAACAGAAGTGTGTGTGTGTGTGTGTGTGTGTGTGTGTATGTATGTGTGTGTGTGTGTGTGTGTGTTATACAGGGGTGTTTCATGAGGAAGCCAGAGAAAGCTATGCTTTTCCCCTTTAGGACAGGGTCTTACTGAAGCTGAATGCTGAATGCAGACTGCAAGCTTCAGGGATCTTTTGGGGGGTTACAGGCTCATGCTGTTTCTTTTTTGTGTGAATTTTTTTGTTTTGTTTTGTTTTTGATCTTAATCACTGAGCCATCTCTTCAGCTCCAACTTAGTCTTAAAAAGTGTGTGTGTGTGTGTGAACGTAAGATGGAATAAGTGTGGAGGTCATATGATGACCTGTAGAGTTAACTCTCTCCTTCCATCTAAGTGTGTCCAACAATTGGAACTCAGGTTATCGGGTATGGCATCTGAAAGTGTTCTTAACAACTGGGCTATCTCTTTAGCTCCTCACCTGTCTTATTCTTGCTAGAACTAAATGTAAGCGAGTCAGTTTGCTCCTCCAGGGCAAGGCACTATTCCACCAAGGTCTTAAGTATCTCTTTCCACCCACCGTGCCAACCACTAGCTCCTGATACCCTAAGAAGAGCTGCACTCGTCACAACCAGAACATGTCCAACTTTCATTCTAAAGGGCTGGCTCCAGCCTTTCTTAGTAAAGCCCTACTGATTTTTCAGGATTCAGTGTAGGTCTCTCTTCTAGGAGGCTATTTCCCTTCGCCAACGTCAGCGCTGCAGCATTGTATTCCCATACACCTGTCCCCTACCTTCAGGCACACACTGCGCACTGAAAGTCCGATTTGGCCACTCAAGGGCTTAGCCCGGAGCTAAGCTGCTAAGTTAGCAGGGGCTTGTCAGCGTCAGTAGGCGACCAGGAGGGCAGAGCAGAGACAAAAAAACTAGAGAAAGTTACTCGCACAGGTGCGGGACAGCCCAGCCCACCGTCCTCCCCCGCTTCACTCTCATTGGCTCAGCCTGCCCGCGCCCATTCCCCGCCCCCAGTCCGCCTCCCGGCCTCCTGGGGGCGCGGGGAGCTCTGCGCACGCGCCGAGAGGCGGGGCGCGCCTCCTGGGGGGCGGGGCCAGGGCCCGGGAGCCCGACGGGGGCGCGTCGTTGCGAGGCAGTTGCGTCCTACGGCGCGCGCAGCCCCCGGGCGGGGGCGGGACCGAGGCGGTCGCTAAGGCGGCTCCCCGCTCTGGTCCCGCCCCCTCCGCGCGCCCCGCCCCCTCCACCCACCCCGCCCCCTCAGCGCGCTGCGCTCGGGCTCCCGCCGCGCTCGATCTCTCGTCGCCCGCGGCCTCTTGCTCCGCTTGTCCGCGGCCGAGAGAGGGACCAGAGAGTCCTTCTGGTGGGCGGCGCGGGGCTGCGCGCGTCCGGCATCCCGGGGCCGCTCGGGCCGGCCGGCGAGGGTAGCCCCTCGGCGGTCCATGCATCCGCCGCCGCCCGCCGCCGGCGTCGCGATGGATTTCGGGCAGAACAGCCTGTTCGGCTACATGGAGGACCTGCAGGAACTCACCATCATCGAGAGGCCGGTCCGCCGGAGCCTCAAGGTGCGCAGGGCCGAGAGACGCTCCCCTCAGGGCGGCTCGCCCGACCCGGCGGCGTCCGACGGCCCCTCGGCGCTCCAGCGCCAGTCGCCGTGTCACCGCAGCCGCTTCAGAGCCTCACTCCGCCGCAGCCGAGGGTCTGGAGCCCGCCCCGTCCCCTGACTGAGGCTAGTCCCTTCCTCTGGCAGGAACCAGCTGGGTCCCTTGACTGCGGCCGGTCCTGTCTCGGAACTGAAATCAGCACTGTCCCCTTACTGGAATCAGCCCTGTCCCCCGACTTGGCCCCTCGACTGCGGCCAGCCCTGCGCCCCACCCGGCTCCGGCCTCCCCCGCGAACGGCCAAGCCGCTGTTGTTGTGGCCAGTCTCCGTGTGCCCCTCATCCGCGGCCGGCTTCTCTCTGGGTCCGTGTCCCCAGGTTCTGGTCGCTGGCCCACACAGCCCTACATCCATCTCTCACTCGGACATCCCAGGTCCCATCCATACACGGTCCTCCTCCCACTTCTGCATAAGACCACGCTCGGGTCTCCCGGTGCCCAGGGCGGCTTGGCCTCCCTTCACCTCCCAAAGAGAGGCACCCTTCCCAGAGTCGTCCTAATTCAGGGTTTCAAAGCCTCTCTCAGCCCTTTGCTCCCTTCCAGAGTCACCATGCATCTGTTTCCTCCCAGCCCCTCCAGGACTGAAGGTGGGACCCTGCTCCCCAACCCCCTTGAGGGAGTCAACCTTCTGTTTATCGTCCCCCCCCCCACGATAACTCCCCCACCTGCAGAGCCATCTTCCCAGCCTTCTGAGACTCCAATCCTCATCCTCACAGACGGGCAAACCTAGTTTAAGGACCCCTCCCCACTCATCGGGCCACTCCCTCAATAGCTCTCTTGAAGCTTTGATTCCTTTTAGTCTGAGTTTATTCGGTTCCCAACCGGAACTCCAAAGCTTGTCCTCCTCAATACCATTCAGCTTGCAGTCTTCAATCTAAACCCCCCCCCTTTAAAACATTGCCTGGTGTGGAAAAACGCTATAGAGTCATATATATATATATATACACACACACACACACACACACTTATATGTATATATATGAGATAAAAATATGACTATATTTATATGTGTCCACATGTGGTATATATGTATATATATATGCATATACATATATATATGTATATGTATATGATGTTAAACCCAGTGAGGTCCCGCAGTCTGTAAGAGTAAAAACAGCCCCCTCCCCAGCACCCAATTGGAGGTGTTTGCTATATACAGAAAGAAGAATCATCAGACTCTAGACTAGTTGCTGTAACTGTGAATTTTTTCCACCTTTGAGGGTCTTTGGGAGGCAAGAACTACTAATGTTTGTATATCTAATTTGCATTTTATACTTGACAGACACCAGAAGAAATAGAAAAATTGACTGTTGATGAAGACCTCAGTGATATTGACAGAGCTGTTTATCTGCTCAGGTATGTCTCAGTCTTTCTGTCAAATTGCTGCTCTTTGCCTGTGGGGCAGACATGAACTGCTTCTGAAATGTCATGTTTTGATTGTTAATGGTGTTTAGATTTACTCTCCCACTTGAGTACGTTTGCATGCATCACAATTATGTTATGAATTAGGTTAGGTTTGGGCTTATGAATTTGAGAACTGAAATCAAATCACATACCTAATTTCAAGAACATTGCCTGGAGGAGGAAAAGCAGAACAGCCAATGGTTTGAATTGAATCACATCCTTTTAAAATTACTTTCCAACTTTGCTCACACAGGAGTCAGTTAGAATAGGTAAGATTTAAGGGTATCCAGTGATGAATTTTTAAGTTTATTGTAGAGTATGAATATCACATGTTATTTACTATAGAGAAAAAATTCATGGATACAGATTTGCGCTCAATATATATTGTTCATATTAGTTTTGCAATGTGAGCTTTATATTGCCCAAGTTTCTTTTTTAAAAAATTGAGTCTACTCTCATTTAAGTTTCAGACCATCTCAAAGATTCTATAGCATAGCTTAAGACAAATGGTTGTATTGTTGCTATATATGTGTCTGTTAATTCTACATTTTATCAAACATAAAGGTCTCCAGTCTCAAGCTGGGGCCAGGGGCAGGGTTAGGACTGTTCTTAACTCCTCTTACAGGTTTCAGGACCTTGCTGAAATAAACCTCATATGCATTTATAAACATATTAATACAAATGCTCTGAATCATTTAAAACGGTAACTATATTGATGAAAAATCTTCAGAAATAGACAATGTCCTAGGCATTTTTTTTATATGTTTAGGAATTGTTTTCACCTATATATATATTTTCCTTTTGGTAATTAGTCTTCACTTTTGTTGTTTGGAATCAAATTTTTGAAAACTGGTGTTACCTCCTAGTATGTCTGTTCTCCCTGTTTTCTTTGCTTAGGCCTACTTTACTAGTTTCTAGAGCTGGCTATCTTATACAGTTCTTGATTGTAGATGATAGATCATATTTCCAGTCCCATGATATTCACTGAATGATTATGTAAGAAATTCCTTCTCAAAGATTCTTCCTCCTCCTCTTCCTCAAACTCAGGGCCTTGCCCATGTGAAGCAAACTGTTTACCAGGACATTAATTACTATTTATCTCCTGGTGGCACCCTAGTTTCTGTTTTTACTATGTATCAATATACCTACCATCCAGACCCTGTTGATCATGGTCTTCAGTGATTTTATGAAACAAAAACCAAACCAACCAGATAAACCAACAGATTGGCAGGCAGGCAGACAGACAGACAGACACAAGCAAGCAAGCTAGCAAAGCAAAGTGAAGCTAGCTTGGTAATGCCACTGTTTGGGGAGGCTGATGCAGGAGAATTGCTGAGAGTTCAAGGACAGCCTGGGCTGTGCTGGGAATACCAGGGTAGCCAGTGCTTCATAGTGAGACCTTTCCTACCACTTGGCTTTCACAACAATTCTTGTGCAAATAACCAGACAGTTGAAGAATATCGGATACATTTCTCTTGCTATGCAGCAGTTAATGATGGAAAGTAGGTCCTCCTTATTGTTGTGGCATACTTCTTTTTCTTTTAGTGTACCCTGGCTTATAATCAGGTAATGGAGAGTCTTACTGTTCTTACTGCTGCCAGCAGACACCTCACTCTAGATGTCATAGATAAACCTTTTTTTTTTTAAAGTTTTTTCTTTTATAACTTTGCTTTTATTGTACACTAGAGAACTAAGTTGTCTTCCTCCCCCTCCCTCAAATATAGAACCTAAGTTTCTTTTAGTTCTGGAAACTTATGAAGACCTTATGAGACAGATTACCCCCCCCCCCAGATCCCTTTTTAGAGAAGAGAGTTTAAAAGATATCATGTGTCTCCTTTAGTTTCCTATGGACAGGGGAACACTAGTTTGCTTGTGTGTAGCTTATCCAGCTAGGTCCTTCTTTTGTATTGCTACCTACCCTCTTACCGCCTCCTAGGGTCAGGTGGGGAGGGCAGAGGTCAGGGCAGGATGGGGACAGGAGGGGTTTCTCTTTCAGGCCTGCCTCTTGAGGGATTATAGGAGGATTGCCTGAAGGGTTCTTCTCTAGGATTCAGGGGAAGGGATTGGGTTGTCTTATAGATGTATTCAAACTGTCACTGCTAAAGCTTGCTTTCCTATCTGCTCTCTTGGAGTGAGCTTTCTATTTTAAATAATTTATTCCCTTAAAAATTTGCTCTGAATATTCTAGAACCTAATAGGGACTTCTGTCTTTTCCCTCTGTAGATGAGTTTCAGGTTTAATTTTGAGTGCTTCACCATTCCTAGTGTTGGATATGTATTATTTACTACTTTTGTGTGTTAGATTTGCTTCCTTATTTTTCTTTTTTCTTTTTTTTTTTTTTTAAGATTTATTTTTATTATGTATACAGAGACTGCAGGCCAGAAGAGGGCACCAGAACTCATTGCAGATGGTTGTGAACCACCATGTGGTTGCTGGGAATTGAACTCAGGACCTCTGGAAGAGCAGCAGTCACTGCTCTTAACCCCTAAGCCATCTCCCCAGCCCGCTTCCTTATTTTTCTTACTGTGTGTTTTAAAACTCTGGGAATCCTTGAAATTATTTATTTATTTTATGTATGCATGCAGGTCTGTGTACCACATGCAGTCAGTGCCTGAAGGAGGCATTGGGTCTGATGGAACTGGAACCCCAGTTCTCTGGAAGAACACTGGCCATCTCTTCACCCACCAATTCTTGGAATATTAATAATACTGAATTAGAATTCAGTCAAATTAGCATTAGTAGGTGAAGCTTTACATTAGTGGAGGTTCTCACAGCATTTAAATTGAATCTAGCAGCCAATGACAGACAAGTTCACTGTTTACTTTGTCTGAAAGTGTGACAGGTCAGTTATCATTGCTGTTTTAACAGAAAGTTTGGAACATTACAGTGCTTGAAGATTTAACACAGATGATTTTGCAGTTTTGCATAAATATGATGCTGATAGACCCATCTGTGGCATTTAGCACCGAAGCAAAACAACTTCCCAGTAGTCACAGCTTGTGTCTTAGTTAAACTCAGATCACAGCATCTTTTTCCTGTTCTCTCTCTTCTGTGTGATTTTGGCATGTATTTTAGGAATGTACTCACAATATGTGAATAATTTTATTAGAGAAGAGTCTAAGTATGCATACTGTATTTTCACTAAGTAAATTTTCACTCATAAATCTTGAATTGTTTCATAGATAATCCTAGACTCTTAAGGCATTTAAAACCCTTCCTTGTGCATGGTGATACTCTGTTTGTGACTCACTTTTATTTTTTTTATTTTTTTGGAGACAGAGTTTCCCTGTGTAGTTCTGGCTGACCTGGGACTAAGTCTTTAGACTAGGCTGCCTCTGCCTCCCAAGTACTGGAATTAAAGGTGTGCACCACCACTGCTTGGCTGTTCCTCACTTTTTAAAATGGCTTTACTGAACTATGTTTCCCATTCCATTATGTTTTTCTTTTGAAGTGAACAGTTAGTGGTTTTCATGTATTCATAGAACTATGCAACCGACACTATGTCAAGTTTAGAACATTTTCATCTCTCCACTCCTCATAAAGCTTGCAGCTACATCTTACTTCTGAATCCTTTCAACTTTTGGGAGCTACTTATTCTGGAATTCCTATAAATGGAATGATTTGTTCTGTGATTTTTGTATCTGACTTCTTTTACTTAGTAAAATGTTCAAGGTTCATGGTAGATCATCATCATTACATTCTTTTTGTTGGTAAATAGTGTTTTATTGCATGGGCATATAGGGGTCTTCCCTTAACTAAAGGCCATATGCTTCAGGACCCCTTACTGGATGCTGAAACTCTAGAGTACTGAGTCCCAATACTTATCACATTACTAAGAATATAGATGGTCATAACTTTTGTAGTTTGAGATTAGCAACAGAATAAGCACAAATGCCTTTTTCCTTATCATTTTTACAAAACCATCTTTTCTACCATTTGTTTTAGAAACTTCAGTATACTGCTTTTTTTTCTTTTTCTTATTGAGAAGTTCACCTTCTCACTTAAAGGAAGCACTTCATGGATCCTCTCTGGCATATCCCAAATTGCTAGCACTACTAGCCCTATGCTTTGACCATTACTAAATAAGGAGTACTTACACACACACACACACACACACACACACACACACACACACACACACACACACGAGTGCTATATTGGAAGACATTGCAAGAAGAAAAATTTTATCATTCTTGCAGAAATTGCATGCTATTTATAAGTTTTAAAAAAATTCTGGAATTACCTATTCACTATCTTCTGATAATAATTAAGGATGGATAACACACTACAGAAAACAAAATCTTGTGTAAGGAGGAACTCTTGTATCTCATTCTGTTGATCCGTTGATCCATTCATCAGAAGATAGACATTTGAGCTGTTTTTACTCAGATCTGTACATTGGAGCAGTAATGTTGATTTTTTTTCACTGTCCTTGGATCCATGTAGTTACCCCTTACTCTGCCTTTCCTCATCTCAGAATATCCCTTCATCAGACCTGTCTAACATTTACCATCCCAATATCCAACTGCAATCTCGTGCCTACTAGGAGGCCTTCCCTAATGCCAAAGCTTCTCTCAACTTCTTGTTGTTTTAGTATTTAGATCCCTTAAAAGACAAAGATTCCTTTATGTTTCCAAACTTGTGTGCATTTTCTTTAACATAGTTCATGCTTTTGAAGTACAAGTTATGTTCTGTTTTTTAATTCTTTCTTGTTTATTTTGTGATATGGATATATATACATATTTACCCCCAGAAAGGGTTTCTCTGTGTAACAACCTTGGCTGTCCTGGAACTCACTCTGTAGATGAGGCTGGTCTTGAACTCACAGAGATCCACCTGCCTCTGACTCCTGAGTGCTGGGATTAAAGGTGTATAGCACCATGCCTGGCTGAATATATACCTCTTAGCACAATGAACTATAAGATAGACAAAACCCTAGAGGAAATAAGCAA